AAGCGCTTTGTACAAACAACGATGGGCTCCACCTACAATGACAACCGAACAGTTGGACCACAGTGCTTTGTGGCGACGAAAAGCCCTTATGGGCAAAGCCTTTACTGACGAAGAACGTGGGCTTGCAAAACTGCTTATGGAAGAAACTATGAAAGAGGTATCTGCTGGTTTTCTGGATGGTCCCTTTTTGGAGTCTGATATAACAGAAAGGCTTGGGCGTGCGGACTGGTCAATGTCCCAACGGTTCCTTCTTTTGCAAGGTGAAGACCTTAAACCTAGAGTGATTGACAACTACAAAACGTCGGGAGTGAATGCGGCCTTTGGAACATCGTCGCACCTTGACCTGCACGACACCGACGTAATCAGTTGCTTTCTTGCGTTTGCTTTGGGTGTTTTCTGCGGAGATCCACATATCGACATCGAACTTTCTTCAGGTGACCACCTCACTGGTCGAAGGCACCCTGACTACGACCGAAAGCCTTTGCTGCTGGGCAGGGGCATCGACTTGAGCAAGGCGTACAAGCAGGTCAGTGTTGCTCCTCAGTCTGCTAGACATAGCGTTTTGGGAGTGCGAAGTGAATCTGGCGAATGGAAGTTCTTTATATCGAAGTCACTGCCTTTTGGAGCCACGTCCAGCGTTTTTGCATTCAACAAGATCACGCGCGGTATCTGGACTTTGATGGTTCGAAAATTTCACCTCCTTACCACTGTATTTTATGATGATTTTTCCTGTTATTGAGTTTGAACCTTTGGCGGCAACAACTACGAACGTGGTGCAGCACCTTTTGGATTTGCTTGGGTGGAAACATGCTACGACTGGTAAAAAGAGTGTTGATTTTTCTGACACCATGCAGGTGTTGGGAGTAGCATTCCACTTGCAGAACTTTTGGAACAAACAAGTGACAGTGGCGAACCGCCCAAGTCGGATACAGAGGATTTTGGAGATGCTTGAATCATACGCTGCCAAGGGTACTGTGTCTGCACCCGAGGCGGCGACTATGCATGGGTTGCTGAATTATGCTGGTGGCTTTGTGGTTGGACGTTGTTTGAAGCCTGCCGCCAGACAGTTTGCAAGTTTGCAGTCAGGTTCATCAGATACAGAGCTCATATCGCGCTTGTGCAATGATACATGCAGGATCATTAACCGAATGCGACCACGAGAAATTCGCTTCCTGAGCAGCGATCGTCCGGCAGTGATTTACACGGACGGTGCGTACGAGAATGGGAATGGAACCTGGGGTGCAGTTGTCATAATCCCTCAACTTGGCATTAATGCAATTCACTGGGGAACCATCCCACCAGTCCTGATGGAGCACTGGACATCTATTGGACTTCAGCAGAAAATTTGTCAAATTGAGTTGGTTGCAGTTTTGCTTGTGAGGTATTTTTACCGCAATGAACTTTCCAATTCTTCAGCACTGTACTTCGTTGACAACGAGGCAATCTCGGGAGGAAACCTTGCAGGCGATATATGCTTGCCTGAAACAATGCTCTTGGAAGTTACAAGAAAGTGAAGCTCTTTACATGTCGAAAAAAAAACGGGGGTGACAGGCGACATGACTTGTTGACCTGAAACAGTTACCAGACACTTGACTTGTGTTTGTGCGGTTTCACCCCCGACTCAATTAAGATAAGCAAAGACAAAAAGAAATATTAAATACATGTCCGACCTTCGAGCGATTTGCGTGGCGTTTTGAGTTTTACGTTTGTTTGAAATAAGAAATTTAATTTACAAAGGGACGAGCACAAACGTTTGGCTTCAACTTGTTGTGGCCTTTGTTTGTTGGGAGTAGTGAGCTTGCGAACGTACCGCCTGTAACAAAAAAAAGAAAAATCTGATGAACTGAAAACCAACTGACGGTGTTGGTGAGCCTGGCGGTGTTTTCAGCTCAGCTTTCAGAGTCAAGCAAATATAGCTGATCCTCCTGTGAAGAGTTGAAGATGTTAAACATGTTCAAATTGTTCAAGCTATTTTAAGATGTGTGGAAGTGCGGTGAAATCTGCTGAAACTTCCGTAGTTGGACGCCTTTTCCATTCCGCACTTGTGCGGCGGCAGATGCTCCTGGCTGAATGCTGGAAACCAACTGAAGTTTCCAAACAACTTCTGTTTATTATCATGTTGTGACATTTACATCTGTCACTGTTGTTTGAAGGATGATCTTTACTTCTCACTTTTTATTTAGATCAGATTGATGTCAGTCTTCTCACCTTTTGCTCTGTTGCGAACATTTTGATTTTATGTTCCGCGCAATTTTGGCTAGGGTGTGGAGGGTGGGTTGCACTTGACCCGTTCGATTTTTCTATCCCCTCCCAAACTTCGTTTTCCCTCCCTTATCTTGTGGGGGGGTGACAGGCGACATGACTTGTTGACCTGAAACAGTTACCAGACACTTGACTTGTGTTTGTGCGGTTTCACCCCCGACTCAATTAAGATAAGCAAAGACAAAAAGAAATATTAAATACATGTCCGACCTTCGAGCGATTTGCGTGGCGTTTTGAGTTTTACGTTTGTTTGAATAAGAAATTTAATTTACAAAGGGACGAGCACAAACATATATATACGTATATATATATATATATATGTACATATAATCATATGATTATATATGTAATATATACATACACATCTATCTTGATCTTTATATGACATATTCTAAAATTATAGTTGCACACACACACACATATATATACATACATACGTACATACATACATACATACGTACATACATACATACATACATACATACATACACACATACATACATACACATACATATACATACATATACATACATATACATACATATACATACATATACATACATATACATACATATACATACCATCACATATACATTACATACATACATACTACATACATACATACATACATACCATACATATACCTACATACATACATTACATACATTACATACAAACATATACATACATATTACATACATATACATACATATACATACATATACATACATATACATACATATACATACATATACATACATATACATACATATACATACATATACACATACATACATACATACATACATACATACATACATACATACATACATACATACATACATACATACATACATACATACATACATAATATACATATATATATATCCACTGAAACCCTTCCTATTCCGATTTGTGGTGCATGTGCTGACAGGTACTACGCCAAGGAGATCTCCACCGAGATACCGGAACTTGAGCTGGACTCCCGAGATGCTGGGTTGAAACACCTGGAGACCTTTTAGGGCCTTGAAACAATGGGGAAAGTTGGAGGAAATGATGGCCAAAATTGGGATGATTTGTTTGAGGAGTTTTGGAGGATTTTGCAGGAATTCTGGTTGATTTTGCAGGATTTCTGGTTGATCTTGGAGAATTTTTGGATGATTTTGGATGATCTTTGGATGATTATGTGAAAATGATTGGAAATGATGATCAACCAATGATGATTGTGTGGTACCCAATCTATTATCCGGTGGTGAATGGAGGGAGCGGTTTGGAGCTACTGAGAGTTTTCCCAACCACATGATAGCTGTTTTTTGAAAATCATCAATCAAATGAGGATCTCGATGGGGATATCAACGGATATATATATATATATACACATATATATATATAAATATGTGTATATATACATATAAATAACCAACGCATAGAAAAAACGCCGTTGGAAACCTTGAATTGAAATTATGGAAGAAACATCATCCCACCAATCATCCATCATGGTTCAACTAGGATCACCTGCGTCATCATTGCGGTTTTTTTTCGACATGGGGCGTTGGTTTGTCATCCCCATGACCAAAGTTGGGATATAAATCATCCCCATGACCAAAGTTGGGATATAAATGGGGCGCGGTAATGGTGAATGTATAACCAACACTTGATATTTGTTGCTTGATGGCTGCACAATTTTGGGCATTATACTATATCATTTGCGGGGGTTTTAGCTGCATTTACATGTTAAACAGGGATATATTGGATATCTTTATAATTCTTTATATATGGTTGATTAATGATGGTTGTTGATGATTACATGGGGGTGTGCTACCATGAAAAAAATCGGGATTCTCAGAATCCATGGACTGGCAATCCCGAAAAAAAACCAACCATTAGAAGGAACTTTATGCAGGATGATATCAGGATATGATGTGGTGATTGTTTCAAAGCAGGTCTTTCCTTCTTGGTGTCATGCTTTGTTATGTTTTTTTTTTTTAGATTTTTTCCTGGCTTGATACATCTTGATACCGTACTATGATATGATACTGTACTGTTCACCCCCTTTGTGCAATTTCGGCAATGTTGATTGAGGAGATACAAGGGACGGTATCAAGGTGATTTCGATTTTGCCCATGGGAAGCTGCTAAATGTGGGAAATCGCATGGAAGAATCCAAGGATGGTGATACGCAGAGGAATCCTGAGCCCGTCTTGCGTGCCCCGTTTTGGAAACTACATCGGACTGAAGCAGCAACGCTGGGGGTTCTGAACTGGAAGAAATGGACCTTCAAGCCACAAATTACCAATGGGATTTCATTGGACAAGACCAGCCTGACCAGTCAGCTAATTTCATTATTTTCATGGGGATGATCCAATGAAACGGGATTTCATATCCACTATCGACATATATCAACATAATTCATTTCTTTGGATGATTTCATGAGCGATGGGTTTTCACCATATTTCTGTGGCATTTGATGGGACCAATGGGACAGTTTTGGCTGGTGACACAGGGGGTTATGACGTCAATGGTGAATGGGACTTAGCGGGATGATAGTATATTATAGTGGGATAATAGTCTATTATAGTATATTATATTATATTCTGATTACCAGAACATTTCAGTTTGGCACCAAGTTTGGACCTGACGGGGGAGAACCAGAGGGTGAAACCTACAGGGGATGCACTATGGAGGAATGATGGAAGATGGGTGTAGGAACTCCATGGAGCTCCTGCAGTCACGCCAGGTATGGTACGGCGAACGACGTTGGATCAAATTTGGGAAACTTTAGATGACCCAAATTCCAGCAACAAAGCATGGTGGATCTCCCAGTTTCAAAGCCTTTTGGTGTTGGCCACACTCATCTTCGGCACCATTCAAACCAGTGAGACGCCAATTTTCACTCCCACCACCGTGGCCGTGGTGGAGACCTCCTTTGATAGCTTGCCCCCTGGCTGGAGATTTGATTTTTCCCACTGTTTCCCGTTTCCAGACAAGAGTTTCTAGTTGGGAGGTTGATGGAACATGATGGAACACGACGGAAATCTTGAAGCTATTTCAAGTCTTGAAGGCAGATGGAGGCCATCATTTTCCTGCTTGAAATGGCCATTTTGATCCAAAAATATGGCCTTTTTCGATCACATTTTGAGACAAACCCAGGCATCGCAGATTCTTTCGACTGTTGGCCAAGTATACCATCAACTATCCCCCATCAATATCCCATCAAATCCCTAATGTCAGTAAAGCAATAGTCTGGGTAAATTATAACGACCTCACTCTTCTCCCTCATTGGAATCATGGTTTTTATAGGGAATTCATCCCCAGATGGCCGAGCTATTCAGGTTAGTGAAAGATCATAATTTACCCAGAATAAACTGATTGGTGGTTTCAAACATGTTTGTTCCATAATATATGGGATGTCATCCTTCCCATAGATGGTTATTGCACCACCAACCAGCTATAGATATATCACCTATAAACCATAGTTATTGATAGATATATCACCTATAAACCATAAGTTCAGAGGGGTTGAATAATAAACAATGTTCCCAAAAATGTATTGGATGCCCATAACTTCACGATGTTTTGTATCTCCCTCAAGCTGGCCATTAGATTGGGGTAACTACCCCAATAGCTGGATGGTTTATACTGGAGAATCCTATTAAAATGGATGATGACTGGGGGTAGCCCCATGACTTAAGAAACCTCCTTATAAACTGTGTATATATATATATATATTATACACATATGTGTTCAACATATATATATATATATGATTATATATAATCTACAGTAGTCCAGATGTTTTGACTTCATTGTTTTTGTTTGCCTACCGTATTTGTTGGTCATTTCCCGTATCCGAATCCAAGGCCGACATCGTCTGCGTCCTGGGGCTTCCACTGCGTGCCTCAGTGGGCTTCGTCTTTCAGCCTGTGCCACAGAATATGTATGAAGAGTTTGTCCAGGTGACCTTGATCTTCTTCCTGCCCATCTTCAGGTCCATGTCCAAACATGTCCAAAGGAAGGATCAGTATAGGATGAATGAGTTACTGACTATAGATGATTATAGTATGTATATACAGTATGTATATATAATATACATACATATATGTATATGTATGCAAAGAGAGGATTTTACCTCCATGATCGGTGATTTCGAACATGAGTTTTCCCTCCAATTATCTTCTATCTACATTAAAGGGCGAGAAATTGGAACGCACATGTCCCAGACACAACACTTGTTGGTTTGATCCACAAAAATTGGGTGAAATCTCAACGTGTTTTTATGGTTTAAATCCCCAACGAATATCCCATGACAATATATCATATCCGCAAGATCGTGCTGGTTTTCCACTCTATCCTCATGATATCCCCTCAATATCCAAATTGCGGGTGAATCCCCACTTTCATTGGCGACATCCCTATTTAGATTGAGAAACAATAAATAAATTGTAAAACCTATTATTGTTGTTTTTTTTTTTTTAAGTTTTTATCCCCATTACATCCCCATTGTTGTTGGGTAAACTAACTTTTTGCGGAAAAGCGTCACCATTTCTGGACTATTTTCCAGTGAAACCATAGCTTTTCCAGATCTAAAATGATGGTTGTTGGTTCAGTTCTATCCCCATGAAAAATTGCCATTCTATCCCAATTGTATCCATTATATCCCAATTATTGTTGTTTATATCCCAATTATTGTTCCAGTACGGTACTGTGGATGGTTGCAAAATCCAAATCACCAGTTACTGTAGTAGATTCTTTATCCCATTATACATCCCACTATTCATAGTGTTTCATAGTTGCGTAATTTTACCTTTCAGAGTTCCCCACTTGGTGATTTGAATTTCGCAACCATTGATATATCTCCCTACATAGTTACCATTGACAGTTCCTCCAAAAAGTTTAGTCCACCTATCAACTGGTGATTTCGCAACCATCCCTTGGTATCTGGGTATGGATCAATACCTATTAATACCATTTTTTGGGGGATGAACATCCATTTACCAGCTATTTTGATGTTCACCAGGGGGTACAAGGTTTTGACACACTGCCATCTCCCATCAAAAAATCGCAGGTTCTTGAAGCTCCTTCGCTACTTTGAGATCACTCGTCTCTTGATCGACGCCTGTAGCAAGGCGGCTGAGGCGGTCCCCGTCCTCTCCTATATGATGCTGGGACCATGGGGCGGGGCCCGTCAGGGGGGACGGGGATTACCCTCTGGTAAACTAACATAGCTATTGAAAATGGCCATTTATAGTGGATTTTCCCATAAAAAATGGTGATTTTCAATAGCTATGTTAAATTACCAGAGGGTATCGGGAATCTGTCGTGGCAATGCGTCAGCGTCAGTGCCACAAGTCATGCCAAGCTGCGGGTGCCCTGACTTTTCGAGTGTTTGGCACCACGATTGGACCTATCGGGAAGCAGCTCAAATCACCCAAAAAGGTGCCAAAACCCTGCAAAAACGCTGGCCAAAAAATGCCAAATTGGTGCCCAACTGCGTCCCGATTGGAACCCACTCCCGCACCACCTTCGCCCCTATTTTCCCCTGCCCAGACCCACCCTTGCCCTTATTTTCCTTTTCCGCGCACCAGCCGTGCACCAATACCCTCCCTCCTGCGCCAAAACGGCAAAAGCAGTCTTAAGCCAAACGGGCGTTCTCCAAAACATACATGGTATCTTGATGTTTTGGTGACCCACATGGAGCGTAACCTTTGTTGGGTATTAATTCTGGCATACATGTTTTTTCAGTGTTTGTTGATTGTGCACGTAAACATCGGAGTGACATGGTGGGATGAACTAACCTGTTTCGAACAAACCATTTTGGTGACTTTCCATGACAAAATGGGAAACTTCTAGAAGGGTCTGGGGCTGGAAGGGTTCTTGGCGGCTAGACAACAAAGTTTCAGTTTTTGTCTTCCGGACACCCCAGCAGTTTTGGGATTGATCATGTTAGATGCTGAGATATATGGCGACATGCGAATAACTTAACAAATACAAGGAAAACTCTTTACTTTGACATCAACACCGGTATACACTGGCAATGATTCCTTTTTTACCAGCTAGCCATAGGGAAACTAAACACCAGTGGCCGCCAGTGAGAAAGCAACCAGAGCGTTTTTGAACATGGAACTTGTTTTAATCTAATTAATAGATCTGTTGATCCTATTGTATTGAATTCAAGTTCTGAAGTTCTGAAGTGACAAAAACACACAATGTTGTTTCTTCATAAACGATACCAGCAAACCGAACACCCAAACGGCCGCTTTCCAGTCACATCTTTACGTGCCGATCCCTAGGATGGCTTTGATCGTGCTCCTGTCTGCGACTTTCATCTACCTCTTCGAGGATCGGCGCAACATTCCTTCCATGCCGCACTCCTTATGGCTGGCTGTGGTCACCATGACGACGGTGGGCTATGGCCGCTGCCTTAGGTTCGTTGCGCGGGTGTAGGACCAGGTAGGGGACGGAGGGGTAAAACATCTCCAGAATTTCCGTGAGATGAAGCAGATAGGATGATAGGACTGTCGTTATGAGTATGTATCCCTACAGAACAAATTCTGATAAGTATACCACTTTTGGAAAAAATCTTATGGAATTAATTACATGGAATTACAGAATGAACCTAGCGGTACCCCTCAGGTGTAGGCTAGATGGCTAGCCATACGATATAATTATGCATTTTATGCATTTTTTGCTGTTGCATGTCCATATAGTATCATATAGTATATTATAGTGTATATATATAATTATATATATAGGCATACATACATCAAACAAAGCCATCAAACATTGGGGTCTCATCACTTATACGTATAGATGTAGACATAC